AGGGCCTGATGATTACACACAAGATGGGACTGTGGATCTCAAGGGAAAGCCTATCCGTAGATCCAAGAGAGGTGGATGGAGAGCTTGTTCCTTTGTTGTTGGTAATTCATCTTCTCTGCAATTCCTCTCCCTCTCTCTCTCTTTCTCTCTCATCTCTCAGGGTAGTATTAATTAGTTTTTCCAATTTTAGGACAAGCTAGGATATTCATTAATGAGTCTTAAAGTTGGTTACCGACCAGCCCACTAGTCTGCAAATGTTTTTGGACATTTGCTGTTCTGAGCTGCGTTCCTCAAACTTGGGAAGCTGTTCGTTCTCCGAATGGGTGAACTCTTCTTCTTCTGTATTTCCTCTTTCCTTTCCTTTTTTTTTTACCCTCCTTTTTATCAATTAATTAACCCAACCCCTCCTGCATGCCATGGAAAGACAGTCTGTCCCGGCAACGACTCCTTGAGGAGTGTTTTGCTTTGATGTCGATTCAGGAGCTGCTTCGTTTTATGAATGCATGGCATGATTAATTTACATGGGCCTAAGGATAGATAATTATTAGATACTATATTTAGGGGCAATTTCAGTCAGCCTGAAACTCATTCATTTTGGCCACCGTCCGTCTTTTCCAATTAAGTCTTGGCTTCCCGTCTTTTCCCATCCAAGCTATACTACCTTCAGGAAGTTTTACCTGTATGATTAGCGAATACCGAAAACAAATACAAATACCGGAGTTAAGAAAAAATTTGACAAGGGTTTTCGTCATATATGTACAAAAGATAAATCACGTTTTTTAACCACCATATCAACTCCTTAAGTTAATTGCTATGGTCTGGATTTCCTATCCATAATGAACAAATTTTTTTTCTCAAATATAGCAGCAACCTGCAGGAAGTGTATAATTTGTTGCAATTATATTATTTCTGTTAGGTGAATATTATATAATTGTATGGCAGAAAAGACAAAGTTCATCGACTTATTTTGGTTTATATATAGAACCTGAAAATAATGATTGCACGGTAAATCTTGTCGTGTAATAGAATTCTCGATGAATCAGAATATATAGAACCTTAATTTGCTTTGCTAGAAGAATCACTACCCCTTTGTTAATTAAGTCGCAAATGTTGGCCGTGAAAAAAAAAAAAAGAGAACACGAATCTTTAACAGTATATAAGAAATAATTATCTTCCACAAAATGTAAGTACTTTTCTTCTTTTTCAGTATAAAAAGTCTCAAGTAGATCCAACTGAACTGTTTCAATATCCTCCTTCGCAACTATAACGTGAAGTAATATATATATATAGGTGTGAAAGTAACGTGGTATCATTTTGTGTTTTTGTATTTGTACTGTATGGCAGTGTATGAGGTTTTCGAACGAATGGCATACTATGGGATATCAAGCAATCTTGTAGTGTACTTGACAAAAAAGCTCCATCAAGGCACAGTGAAATCATCCAATAATGTTACAAATTGGGTTGGCACCATTTGGATGACTCCTATCTTAGGTGCATATGTTGCTGATGCTCATCTTGGCCGTTACTGGACCTTCGTCATTGCATCTGTTATCTATCTTTCGGTACGTACCATGTTGCCATTTATATATATTTTTTCAATGTACGTATGCATTGCATCCGGTTCGATATCCTGCTTAGCTTCATCTGGATCGCCCAGAAAGATGAGAAGCTGGTTGGACCGAATTAATGTTTCGATCAAACATCATATTCAACACCCTTCCATGTCTTTTTCCGCAAAAAGTGGGTACGCAAAATATTATAAGATTAGGTTCATCACCTGATGTTTTCTTCCCCATGATCAGATGGATAGGGTTCGGATTTTCCTTTATAATTTGACATCCCTTTATAATTTGACATCGTTAGAGGATCAATCAATCATGTTATTTTGTCTCACTTTATCAATCCTAGCTGTTATCATGAGTTGTGCTGATTGTTGACTAAGTCAAAGGAAGGGATGATCACGGGTTGTGATTATGATTAATGCATTTGTGTGACTTTACCGACGTGACCAAATTATTTCCAACCTGTGGGAGTAGAGCGTATGGAAGTTTGACTCCGAAGTTTCTGTTTTATTAGGCAGAATTAGGAAGATGTTGTCTTCCTTGTAAGAAAAAACCGTTCGCTGTGAGGTATTTGAAGTTTTGAGCTCACGTAACCTTGGTTTTCGACATTGCAACTTGAACTGTCTGGTGTCAGGTCAGGAGAAAAAAACAATACTAGCACGCACCTTTAAGTCAACTTGGCATACTAATTACTACTCCTACATAGGATTGGAACAATTGGCAAAACAACCGAAGTTTTGGATAACATTCAGACAGTGGTTGAAGCGATTTGATCCGATCATCGCTAGTGTCATCCGGATCAACTATTGAAGTAATTTTTAAATACAGTGGTTAAAATTTTAATGAATGCCTTTTTGACATGATGGCAGGGGATGTCTCTGCTAACACTATCAGTTTCCCTTCCTGCACTAAGACCACCATTATGCAAGAATCCGAAGGTGGAAAAGTGTAAAAAGGCCTCCACATTACAATTAGCAGTGTTCTTCGGCGCCCTCTACACGCTAGCTTTCGGAACTGGTGGAACAAAGCCAAACATCTCGACAATCGGTGCCGACCAATTTGATGATTTCGATCCCAAGGAGAAGACTCATAAGCTATCCTTCTTCAACTGGTGGATGTTCAGCATCTTCTTTGGGACGCTCTTTGCTAACACAATACTTGTGTACATACAAGACAACGTAGGTTGGGCCTTAGGGTATGGGCTACCAACACTCGGGCTTGTGATATCGATTATTATATTCCTATCTGGCACACGATTTTATAGGCACAGGCTGCCAACAGGAAGCCCATTTACATGGATGGCTAAGGTCATAGTTGCAGCCCTGCGGAAGTGCAGGGTTTCAGTCCCTAATGACCCTAAGCAGCTCCATGAGCTTGACTTGGAAGAATATGCAAAGGGGGGAAAGTTCAGGATTGATTCAACACCAACCTTAAGGTTTGTAACAGTCACAGTGCATATGTAATTTCCCTTTTTCCTTTCCTAACAGTAGCTTAAATAGAAGTGTCCTAATTAATTTTTATATTTGGCTTGGCCTAATAGTTAGTCTGAACTCATGCAACATGCATGCAGGTTCCTCAATAAAGCTGCTGTGAAAACAGGTCCAACTGGTCCATGGATGCTTTGCCCAGTTACTCAAGTAGAGGAAACTAAACAAATGTTGAGAATGATTCCGATATTGATTGCCACATTCGTTCCAAGCACAATGGTTGCTCAGATAAATACTCTTTTTGTCAAGCAAGGCACTACTCTTGATAGACAAATTGGCAGCTTCAAAATCCCACCGGCAAGTTTAGGTGGATTTGTGACCCTATCAATGCTTGTTTGCGTTGTGATATATGACAGGTTCTTTGTTAGTATCGCTCGTAGGTGGACTAAGAATCCCAGAGGGATCACTCTTCTTCAGAGAATGGGAATAGGCCTTGTTTTTCACATCATAATCATGATAATTGCATCCCTAACTGAAAGGTACAGAATAAGTGTGGCCAGAGAACATGGCTTAGTTGAAAATGGAGGCCAAATCCCTTTGACAATCTTCATTTTGCTTCCTCAATTTCTGCTCATGGGAATGGCTGATGCATTTTTAGAGGTGGCCAAGCTTGAGTTCTTCTATGACCAGGCACCTGAAAGCATGAAAAGTCTTGGCACTTCTTATTCGACAACTAGTCTTGGAATTGGAAATTTCCTCAGTAGTTTTCTTCTTTCCACAGTTTCTCATATTTCCAAGAAGCATGGTCACCGAGGGTGGATTTTAGACAACCTAAATGCTTCTCACCTGGATTATTATTATGCCTTCTTCGCAATACTCAACTTCTTGAACTTCATTTTCTTCTTGGTTGTGATTAGGTTTTATGTGTACAAGGCTGAAGTTTCGGATTCAATGGAAGTACTGGCTGAAGAATTGGAGGTGATGAGATTGAGGGAACAAAGCCAAGTTTCCTGACACCAATGAGGTGCAGAAGAAAAGCCTACATAAAAATCAAAGCTGAAATTGGAGAATAGGTTACAAGTTGAGGACCATTGTATAGAAGCTCCCTCTCTCCAAAGCCTATTACGGAGTTGAACTAGTTTGGGAGAATGGTGGTTTAATACGTGTATGCTGGACTTCCTTCACCTTCTGAGAAAGAGGGAAAAAAAAAACTGTCATGTTTACTATTTATTTACTGAAAGAAAAAGAAAAGAATATAGTTAATGTTGATGACTTGCAAGTGTTTATCTTAAGCAACAGCATAATTAAGAAAATCTCATCCCAACGAAGAAATTGCATTTTGTAATGTAACTTCTCTGGAACTTTAAAACATATAGGCATTTCTTGGAAAGCTCTATAAAGTTCGAGTAAGTCTGCAGAAATGTTAAGAATTGAATTTAGCTCTCAACTTCTCTCGCACATTGTGAAAGTTTATGTTGGTGCTTTGCTAACATCAGGTACATACAGCTGGGTCAGAAATTGAGGTAACAATGAAAAGCCATTCTTCCATGAAAAGTCACTCTTCCATGAGGAATTATAAAGATACTCTATCAGCTTAAATGGAAATTTACGCTCAACATTTTGAGAAGATCTTTGCTTTTCTATCTCTCTATTTCACAGCTCAAATACCACAAATTAAATTAAAAATGAGAAATTTAGGAAAAAAAAAATGTTGTAAAAAGAAGATACAATATCCCTAATTAATAAAAAAAATCTCTCCATCGCACATGTACCAACAGTTCCCACAGCTAAAATGCTAATAGAAACATACTGTTTCAATCCCCAAGAGGATCTTGATATGGAATTTTAACTTGAACCAAACCCAATGTATACAATGAGCGTCTTCACATTTCCAATTAAGAGTATCTGTTTTGGTTTCGTGGCTAGAAGTCATTATATACTAGATTAACGCATCAGATGCTATAACTTCATTTGCCTGAAATGTACAAGAGATCAAAACCATCATTTCCTTTTATCTTCTTTTAGCTAGCTGGAATGTTTTTTTCAGGAACTGATTTGCTGCTTTATCATTCCTGTGGCACAACACCCTTAGTATTGTGTTTGGATCTGCCCTATTCCATCGTCCTGTTGTTGGTGGCATTGGTAGTTTTTGACCTGAACTCACAACTCCTATGCCACTTGCTTCACAGGTCAGGATACTGAAATCTTCCATTAGTTGCTCTGTACTATCACCCATCAATGCTATCACCCCTTCAACAATCTCAGCCTCCTTTTCCACTACCTCCTCATTCATCAATCCTTCACCACAAGTGCAAAATGTGCGCTTCAAGCTCTCAAAGTCCTCCTCAATCATGGGATAATCGGATCGATAAAATACCCGGCTGTAGCCACCGGCAAGCAAAACCATGAGGAAGGCCTCATAAGAGGCCTTCATGACTTCTCTCATTGCCACAGGTTGGGCGCGGTCTGTGAGAATTGCTGTCAACAGAGTAAGATTCTGTTTGAGAATTCTCAGTGCAGGCTTGATCCTTGCATTTGCTACATCAGCAACATAGAGAGCATCATAAAAAACAGAATTCGAGTCGAGGAATATCAAACGATAAGCAGCAACTTCTGACACATGTTGGCAGGCAGATTGGATGGATGCAAGGGATAGGTCAAAGTAGGAAGATGAATTGATGTGTTGCTTGCGATGATAACCATGGGATGCAGTGGTTCTTGGGGCAAGAGCGAGGTTCTTTTCTAGAGAGTGGAGATGAGATTGAAGATAGTTCAAAGTGTTGAGCCGTATGTAAAGCCGTTGTGTTCCACGGCTTGTTGATGGCCGAGGATGGTGAGCATCGTTTACACCATATTGGTGCATATCATCTGAGTTGACAGTGCAAGGAGTAGCTCTCTTCCACAGTTTAAGGAACTTTGAGTCACGATTGCACCTGGTTAGAGGAGGGAGTGTAGGAACATAGCTCTGTTTTGATCCTGCAAAGCATATCAATGAAAATAACAGCTTAGCTTAAGGCAGTTAAGCACTTAGAACGTGATTACGTTTGTATTTCTGAATTCTGATAGCCTACAGGCTACAGTGGGGCATGTTCGTCTCCTCCCAATGAAGAAAGAAGAACTTAGATAGCATTATTATCCAGTCCTGCTCTTTTTTTCGAAAGGGTCATGCATCTACTATAATATGCTGCAGAGCAGAACTTATACCAAAGAATTTTTGCTGTTTGTCAAATGTTCTGTGGACCGTATTTCTTCCAAGCAATTACTTTCACAGAGAAAATTACTTCTAAGAATAAAGAAGGTGCTACTTTCTTACCACAAGCTGCTACCAAGTTGGTATAATCCTTGAAGAGACTCTCCAAACCTTCGACTAGATCATAAATCAGATCATCAGTAATTCCAACAGGAATTTGAAAGAAATCATCAACAGCTTCTTTGGCTATTTTTACTAACTCCGCAGCTGATGTCGCGTGTGGCTCGTGTTTGGACTTAGGATTCCATGTCTGCAACATATATTGCACCATTTCAGTCTCCAATTCTTTTGACATATATATATATATATATATATATATATATATATATATATATATATATATATAAGCTTAAATGCTGTATTCATTTCAGCCAAAAAAAAAAAAAAAAAAAAAATTAAGGGAACTCACTTCAGAATCTTTGGCTCGGATAAGGCATTCTCGCCCTCTTTTCAACCTCTCTTCAATCCATTGTTTCATAAGCCTCAATATGACTGAATCAACTTCGTATGGGACCATCTCTCGTACGATTGTTTTACCTCCATCCTCACACTCGACGGAGTCTTCAACCAGCATTTGAACCAAAACCTTTTCAAGTTTTCCAGCACTCTGCAGTACTGCAACAGTCTCATTATTAAGAGTGGACATCCCATGAAGATATTGCTTCAAAACTGCTCCATAGCACTGGTGTAGTGTTACAGCAGCAACGCTAGCTGCAATGGGGTGCCATTTCTTCAGTATGGGACTAAAACTCTCCCTTTCTCTCAAGGCCAAATCCTCAGCTTCTTTTGCTAACTGCAGGAGAGCCTCGCTTGCTTCATCTTTCACTTCCAGACTTGTACTCTTATAGCTTCCGGTTTCTATTATCTGCAATTAACAAATTAATTAACAGGAATGAACATGAGAGACATCGTACTTAATACAGAAACAGTAAATGTTGAAACTGATAATCAAGAAAAGGTTAGACATACAGAAACAGCAACCTTTGCAAATGCATTCTTTATAGAAGCTCGAATATAGTGATCCACACGATCCCCAGATGAATCAACTATCTGTGTGTCTCCTTTCTCTTTCCCGACCCCTTCTGTAATCGTCACATCCTCACCCAAAATTTTTGATGCTGATAATGCCAAAGGCAGAAGATTCTCAATCAGGACAACATTTCCTCTCTGGAAACAGTCATGATAGTGAAGCAATCTCCGCTCTGCCCACCCTTGCATTGAAGCCAACATAGAAGACAAAAGCTTCACATACATAGCCTCTCGGTCTGGCTTCTTTGCATCATTAGCCACATCTGTCGATAACAAAGCATGTGTCGCATAAAGAAGATCCGGTTCTACTTGTGAAGTAAGTACGTATTGCTGGAAAAGTACCCAAGCAAAGCACAGATTGTGTATTGGTCTATTGATTCCTAGTGTAGACCATGTCTTTTTCATTAACTCAACAAGCTCATCAACCTCGTCAAGGACTAACGTCTCTTCCCTAAAATCAAATATTGATTGAAGAAGAGAAATGTATAGGTGAATGTTGAGTGGAAATCCATCAGCCCAATGGCATACATCGGTAGGTGTACCGTTGGCACTTCGCCAAGACAAGGAAACAACACTGTTGCATAAGGTTCTCATGGTGTCAGAATTTTTGCCTGTGTCAATAGGTTTGGTCTCGCTAGCACGGATAATTTCACGGAGACGCATAGCATAAGAGTTTGATTTATCAAGCGGGATTGAAGGGTGGAGGAGGAGACCAGCCTCCAGGATTTTGAGCTGACGCCTTTGCCAGAGATGGTACTCTTGGCTGTCATTAAACTCTGATGGCTTTAGGTGTCGTAGGAGCTCCAATGGCAGGATTATTGTCTCTGCTCGCCTGCCCATCTGTCAATGTAAAGAAAACAACAAGTCGTGAATTGATGAAATCAAAATGAAAATCATGATGCATCCAAAATCAAACAATAAAGACAAACGAAACACATTTTACAATATATATATAACGTGTCCAAAATTATCCAATCTATTTCTATCTTTAACAACTAGTCAAGCTTTTTAAAGAAGAAAATCATGCAAAATTATGCACATACAAAATATAATACCAAGGTTGAAAAAGAAAAAAAGAGCAAAAACAGATCAATTTTTGTGTTCGTTAAATTTGTTATGAATAATTAATAATTCTGAAATACATACAGCATTACGTACTTGGCCAACAAGAGTCCTCATGAGCGTCTTCCTCAACCTATTATCACTATGCTCCGTCACTCTCATCTGCGCCCTCATTATCTCCGCGGATGTCAGCGGCCTCCGAGGTCTCCCTGTGGTGATTGGAACCGTGGCAAACCCCATGGCAGGACTTGTCCCTCCAGTATGTACCGGACCATTCGGTGACCCCGGAGCCGACCCACCTCCACCGCTGCCTACAGCCGACATCCTCCTTGTAGGGGACTTCTTCAGCATCTTCAGCCCCAGAGCTCGCTTTATCCGACTCGTCGGGGACATCACCACCACCGGACCACTGCCCATACGACCAGTAGGTGAGCCAGTTCCTGCTCCATCCCCATCATGATGTTGATGCTGATGATTGGAATAAAAGTTGATGGCATTGCGGCCACCTCCGAAGCCAGGGGAGGAGCGGCAGGCGGTGAAGAAGACCTCGTAGGCAGTCTCACGGACGTCATCCTTGTCAAGGCCTTCAAGGTCTCCAAAAGGCCAAGACAGATCAGTGTCTGCAGGGTCAATGGAGCTGGAGATTGTTAGGGTACCCGAGAAGGATTCACAGCGGCTATGTTGGGCCATTAAAAATTTGACAATGATGTTCGGATATCCGGCGGGAGAAAAAAGGGAGAGAATGAGAGCATTCTCTTAATATAGAGAGAGACTAGAGAATAGGAGACATGCAGAAATGCTGCCGCAGGAGAATTTTATGCGGTGGCTTTGTAAGTTAATACAGCGATTTTGGGCTAAGAGAGAGACGAAAGAAACAGCCGACGGCTAAGAGACAACAACAATGTTGTGTGAGGAAAACAAGGAAATATTATGGTGGTGAACAGGTTTGTATTAGCAAATATTAGCAATTGCTACTCCGGTTTTTCTGCTTTGTAAATTTGTCATTGGTTTCTTTTTTTTTTTTTTTTTTACACCTCATTTTTAGTTCTACTACAATTAAATTAATTTGTTGTCAAAGAGACCAACTTGTCTTTTTGGATAGAGGAATGTATTACAAAGAAAACTAATTCATATCATATTCATCCACACTCAAAACATTATGGATTGTGACTCATTTCTACTGTTGTGCTCCTTTCCATCAATGCTAGCCGATGGTTTCGTGGTGTGCATGGCCCATGTTAGTTCTACTAGCACGATTGTTTGCCTCTTCTTTAACATTTGTTTGGCTTTTTGTCATTTCTTGCTCCCGTTATTTTCTTTCTGCCATTGGGTGGACTTTTGCTTTTACTTTGTTTGCCCACTTATGTTATCTATTTTTGATTTCTTCTCCTGACTTTATTTTTCGTATTCCCCCTCGTGTTTTAAGCGCCTATTCTAGAAAAATTACTTTCTGTCATTTTTCTTTTTTATTTTGATCCTAACCATTCATTTACAAACCCTAATAATCATAACCATTAAACCCTATAATATAACATCATTTTATCCTAATTTCACCGAGCCTCCATCTTCATCCTTCTATCTCTCTCTCTCTCTCAAACCCAAACACACAGAATTGAACTCATATTTTTTTTCTTCAAATGTCCTTTGATCAAGGTATGATAAAAATAACCAAATAAAGGCTAAATTGAGCAGTGTGTTTTGACAGGTTTTGCATCGTTGAGTAAAGATTCACTTATGCATGCCATTCAAAAAACCACTCCTTGTATTATTCTGCCTTTTAATCATTGGCAACAAACAGATGAGGATCAACGAAATTAAGCTCCTTTTTTTCATTTGACATTATATATAGATATATTTACTCTACTATCATGATCGACAGGCAAAAAAGAAGAAGATTATTTGAATGAATAAATAATAAAACACTTAAATCTACAAAAAAGGCAAAACCAAATGACCTTTGATAAGACTGGAAACCTTACCTTACTCAATTATTTAGATTCAACAAGAGAAGAGCTGACAAACTTTATCAAATAAAATATAGAATACTATAGTCATATCAATAAACAAGGGACTTATCATATTATTAATGAATAGTGAATTCTCATTCAATTTATATCACCTGCCCTACATGGCTACACCATGCCAATTTTCTTAGTAGCTATAAAAGAATGCCTCCTATACCACCACATAACAAGCTAGCTACTAAATTGATCACTAGCCACTACCAACATCAAACAATAATTATCTCACGACAGAGCGTTTGCTTCGACCTAGTATCGACAAAGCTAGTTAGATTAGCCTAGATTGTTAATTTTTTTTAAGTACCTATCATTATAACATAAATTTGGAATTTTGAATTAATAAATGAAACTCATTTTTAAAACAAGATTGAAAAAAGAAAAAGAGTACAAAAGAAGAAGAAGAAGAAGAATTAAGCTATATATTATGATGTTAACTAAATTGTATAAATACCTCAACTTTTTCGATAAAGTCTGGTTGAAACAAAATCTTTGATCCTCGTAGTGTGTTTTGAGTTTGATAGCCAAGTAAGGAAAAAAAGGTGAAAGAAATAGAGATTTCTTACATTGTCCAACTAATTCTTTCGATGATTCTTCAATAACTACATAACTTGCTTTCCAACTAGTCAATTTTTTGTTTTGGATTTGAATGTCCTATTAATCCACTTGGAATAGAAACCGAAGATATTTGACCATTTTGATTTGGTTTTCCTTTTTACTACTCCTCTCGTTTTAAAGTGACGAGTCTTCTTTGATTTTTCATAAACTTATTAATTATAATGTCATATCAGTATTTATTTTTTAAAATATTTTTTTAAGTAAACCTACATTATAAAATAAAGGTATTTTAGAAAAGTATTGTATTCAAAACTTTGATCAGATAAATATTTTGAGACATAAATAAATAAATAAATAATCTTTTTGAAATAGAAGAAATATGTTTTCAAACAATAGATACCTAAGATTGATCTATTGTATTGATTTTGAAAGTTAAATTATTTAATTTCTTTGTTATTGTAAGGCTTACATGCCTTCCATTAAGTGTTAGCGTAGGTGCTCAAGATTAAATCTTGTTTGGATTGTTTGATTTATTTTATCATTACATTTTCTATTAATTAAAAAATTCTTTCTATTAATTTCTATTATTATTATTTGACGTAATTAGATAGAAATCCATATGATATGTATTGCATTAATAATTGATCGGTTAACGTGAGATAAATATTGATGTATTTAAATAATATTATTAAATGTCCCTAGTCGTAGCATTGTCAAGATTAGACATTGATAACTTGCCGTAAGACTTATGAGTACTATGCTCTTACTATTGGATAACGATAGGAGATCGCACAACTAATAACACGGTGATACCAAAGCAAACACTTAAGTGAATAATGTTAGAGAATATATATCACTAGACGTGACTCACTATGATCGTTTAGTCTATAGGAATCTCATACGTGATAGGTATAACCGATCTTTTGACTTAAAGTCATCATGATTATCTCATTAGAGGATTGATGTACTTTAATAGTCTTTTCGATAGAACTAGTAAAGAGCTACATATGGACGATTTATTTGGTGTATTAGGAATGTAATAAAAATATATGGATGATTGAGACAAGATATGTCATTATTTATATGCTAAAAGAGTTATCATATTGCACTTTGATGAATGTCTACTCAAAAAATATATGACTACGAGTGAAAGTATACCGATAGAGCATAGTTGGTTTACTTTAAAGCTAAGGCATTTGGAGATCGAAACAAATTGTGTGATCATAATCAAATAGTTAATAAACCAATTTCAAGATCACATTATGATAAATTGACATAAAGTCCGAATTGTATGGAAACCATTCTCATGAAAGATAATTATGAATTCATTAATCTCCTGAGAATTGAGTACTCTTGATACTTTGCTAGAAGTCAATCTTAATTTAAGTATTAAGAGATAAAAAAAGGTGTCTTTTATCTTCTTGATACATTGCTAACATATCTAGGAGCTCTACCGAGTTACACATATAAGTTTAAACATTCACACGATAAAAGAGAAGTAAAGGTTATTGAAAAAAGTTTCATGTTTTGAAAAGTTTCTTATTTTGGAAAGTTAGTTTCCTAAAATGAAAAGTTAGTTTCCTATTTTAGAAATCAATTTATTCCAAATTTAAAGACGAGTTACCTAAAAAAAATTAGTTTCCTAATTTAGGTTTAAGGGTATTTTAGGAAATTATTTTTTAATGTGGGCTTCACTAAAATACTTGACCCAATTTATTTGAATGGGCCAAATTAGTTGGTAACTAATAGGGATAAAAGAGTTTGAACCAATAATTTAATTTAAAAACCTTTAATATATTTTACTTGGAAGGATAAACTTGAGTACTATTGGATAAGGCTTAGGGTTTACAAGGATAATGTTAGATAAATCTCACATAAGCAACATTTCCTTGACCTATAAGGAAAAGTTATCGTTTCTTATAAATAGAGGTAGAAGAGAGGGACGACACATAACAAGAATAAAAACCCTTAGATTGATTTCTCTAGAAATAAATTTTATACACGAAGGATTGGAGCTAGTACTCTATAATTTTTTTTACTTATTGTGTGAGTATTTAAGTCTGCGTGGATAATTAATAGCGATCGAACACTTGTACGGTTCTCTTTTTACTTAATTATTTCTCGCACTAATTTCTACACTATAAAAGGTAATCACTTACTTTCATCTAATTCATATTTATGTATGATTAGTTGATTCAATGACATGATCTTGGAACCTCTAGATAGAGAAATTTTTTTTGTTTATTTTGTATCTTCATGGGATCCATGTTCCTTTAATTGGTATCGAATGTTTGTTGAATTTTTAATTATATGTTATGTTAATTATGATTAACTACATGAATCATTATTCTCTTATTATAGATATAGGGTTTTTGATATTTTATAATATCTTGAAATTGATTTTTTTGGACTAAAATTTAGTGGGTGTGCGTGAGGCTAATGTTGGACCTTGGTGCTCATACGCGTGCACCAATTGACAAGCTAAGCATGCCTCATACACACTAGATATGCCGAGGGCCAAGTGCACGTGCGATTACATTAGGCCACTAGCGAGTGCTAGACATGTCAATAGTTGCGCCAAGCTCATGTTGAGCATCGGCCAACCGGCCGGCCAAGGTTAATGCTAGGGATTGGATAGTGGCTAGCATCGGGCCGAGCACGTGGAAGCGTGCCACTAGTAGCGGCTAGTGGCCATCATCGAGCCTAAAAGCCAATAGGCCTAAGGCTTAGAATATAAAATATTAAAATTTAGAAAAATTTTAATGTTTCTATAAAATGACCAAAACCATAGATTTATAATTATGATTAAAATAAAATATGTTTCATTTACTTATACGCCATGTATCATGTGATTGAAGTATAGATGAGTTGACCTAGTTTTTGAGAATGTATGCTTGTAAAGTTTTAGTTAAATTGGGAATTCATGTCCTACCTTTTCTATTATTTTAATGTATTTCTCTTTTTATCCTACTACCTTTGAATGTAACTTAAGGTTTCTTATTCAAAAATTATAAAAGTAGAAGATATAATATTAGAATGCATGTGAGGAGAAGAAGCTAAGAAGAGAAAACAATCTCGAAGAATTTGTAATAATTTTCACTTAGGTATTTGACC